GGGTTTAGGAGAGACCTTGTTATGCCAGGGGGTGCTAGGGGAAACAAGGAATAACAGCCACAAGTTGTTGGAGAGCAGGTTTAGATTAGACATCCGCAAGAACTGCTTCACAGTTAGGGCGGCTAGGATCTGGAACCAACTTCCGAGTGGGAAGTGGTGCTGGCTCCTACCCTGGGGGTCTTTAAGAAGAGGCTTGATGCCTACCTAGCTAGGATCATTTGAGCCCAGTTTTTAGTCCTGCCTAGGCAGGGGGTCAGACTTGAAGATCTACAAGGTCTCTTCTAACCCTACTTCTATGATTCTACGAAGATTCGATGCTGATTCAGAGAATCAGCAATTCAGCCATAGACACATCTTTAAATGTTTTTTCTACGTAGCTCCAGGTACCAGGCATGGCTCATGAATGCTGCAATGCTGGGGCAGATGGAGCAACCCACAGGAGTGTGGGAGGGCCCCCTGTGTGCTTGGCAGCTAACACAGAATTGGACCAGAAATACTTCTGGTCCTCTTCCAAGTCCATCACCAAGCATGCAGGGGGGCCCCACCATGCTCCCCTGGCTCAGCAATTGGCTGCAGGGAGACTCCATGTACCACCCCCAGACCCAGGAGGCACCAGTCACCAAGCCAGGGGGATACAGGGAGGCCAGCCCCACACACTCCCCGGCAGACCCGGAAGTGGTCTAGAAGTGCTTCTGGTCCACTTCGGGGTCTGCTCCTGAGCACACTGGGGACCCCGCCACACTCCTGTGGGATGCTCCAGCCGCCCCACCATCTCAGCATTCACAAGCTGCCTGATACCTTGAAGTATGTAGCAAAAACATTTAAAGCTCTGTCTATGTCCGAATTATTGAATCTTTTTTAATTGATTCAGAGGGTTCCGATTCGATTCAGAGACATTAAAGGGTCTCTTGATTAGATTCCGATTCAGGGATTTGGCTACTGAATTGGGCTGAATCAAATCAGCAACCGAAGCTTTGCAAAGCCCTACTAAACAGTTCTTTTTCAGGCTTTTTCTACTAAAAAGCTGGCTTATCTTCACACAGAGTAAATGAAGCACAGGCAAAAAGCATCTCCTCACTTAGACTGTTTCTACACAGTATTTTTCCAGGTTCTCCCTGTAACATTCATTCCTCTAAGTTCTAGACCTTACTAGCCATCCTATAGCATCACAGCAGAGCTTCCAAGACATTTTTATTCTCGGATTTTAAATTAACCAAGGCAACACAAACAGCAAAAAAAAAAATTAAGCGAAATGCATGAAAGTATTTTTTTCCTCCCCATGCTTAAGATTACTTATGACTAGTTCACACTTGCAGGTATTTTCACCAGCAATAAAAGCAGGGGTTCAAATACCGGTGATAATGATGGAAGTATAAAAATCTATGCAGAACAGAGCATTTGTTTATGAATGTCAAAGAGAATTCAAAGCAGTTTTCAGCATGAAATTCATACAACTGAAATATGCAGATCTGATCCTTGTGTACAAACACGTAGCACTTTTGAACTCTATTTCAGTTCTCCAATAACTACAGTAACCATTCACTACTTTCAAGGGGGAAAAAAGCCCAAGACATCTAAAGCTGATTACTGTGTTACAATTGCCTTAAGATCTTACCAGACAGGATTTTTTAAAAAGTATTCAAGCACAGTATAAGATAAAAACACAAACCTAATACAGATTATCACTTCATTTTTATATTAAAAATTTTCAAATTTCTAAAACAAGACCATTTCCGAGTGGTTTTTAAAAACAGTTTCTTTATGTTTATTTTTTAAATGTATATTTGAGAACAAAAACAGATTTCAAAACATCTGCTGCTGTTCTTGCACATCTGAAGATTAATATAGCAGTCTCTTTCACAACAGACTGAACCGGTATAAGAATGGTTAATTTCAGGAAAGCATTAAATTACCCTGAAGAAAACTATTCTCCTCACTGTGAAACAAATGAAAGAATTCCAAATACAAACTGATGTACTGTTCATTTGAAATATTCAGTATTTACCTTTAATGCACAAAATATGCAGGCATCTCCTTGACAAACATGCCCTGTTAAACCTCTTAAACTCCGTCGGAATATGTCAAGCTGCCACAAAACCTAAAAAGGAAAAGAAGTTAGAATAGAAAATATGAATTCTATTTTACAAGGTTTCACACACAAAACTTTTAGATAAATTTACCAATTATTAAAACTTACTGTATTTTACTTTATGCAATATGTAAAAGAAAAAAATGTTAATTACCAAAAGAATTGCAGATTTTTCCATTCATTTGGAATGAAAATGGAGGTGTAAGGAATAACTACTACCCAATGATTTACAGGCAAATCTGGTTTGCAGGGATTACATTAATTAATTGGAGATTAAATGGAATCATTACCAGGAAAGCGGTGCAAAGCAGAAACTACTGCAAATCTACCTTTTTTATTATTATTTTTTTTTAAACTTTAAGCTTCCCTTCCCTATGCATTTTCAAATGAAGAACTTCATAAACATAATGTATTCCAATGCGAATGAGATGCTTGACTTTCAGAGATCATGAAAATAATTCACTGATTTTGTAAAAATTAAAGGGTTTCCCCACTCTACTCATGTACCTGCCTGTATGATATGGCAAGTTTTACTCACTATGAACAGATACCTGAACTACCTCTCAGCCATGCTCATAATTCTCAAGAGGGTAAGTCCCCTGTGCAAAGCTCAGTGCTACTGTGGCTTGGTTGGTTCTCCCACTGTTTTCTCTATATAGAGAGAAAACCCAGGTTTTTCCTCCTTAAAGTGAGAGAAATCTGTGTTTTACCACATTTTACCATGGCAATTGAAAAACCCAGATCCCTGGTTATCAGTTAACCAATGGAATTAGAGGAGGTTAAAATGGATAATTTTTAAGCAACATTTACATCCCTAGCCCCAACAGTCTCTGCTCCCCCTCCCTTCCTGCTGCCTTTTATCCTTGCTCCAGGTCCTGCAGGCTCATTCCCAACTCCAGCCTGAGGCATGGAAGATGCATCTAATCCAGCCCCAGCCTAGATCAGTACCAGCAATAGTGATGTGGCAGCTCTGGCTCCAGCTCCAGGCTCAGGCTGAGGTATCACCACCACTGCTATAAGGCTGAAGCAACCACATGCTACCTGCCCCAGGCTCAAGCAGAGATGGGGCCTGCTGAAGGAAGGATGAGTGACGAGGATGCTGCAAGCTGAGGGAAGACAGGAGGCTACAGCAGCAGGTAGCACAGCTGCACCTGTAACACTGACCCAGATTTGGGGCTAGTGCCAGAGCTACAGCAGCTGCCTATCTCCACATCACTTCAAACGTGAATTCAAGACAAGGGGCTCCCACCATGTTAAACTGGGGGGAAACCTGTTCTTGGATTTGAGCAAATTTTATTTCTTTAGGAAGAATACGTAGGAGTTTCTCCCTCATATATTCTATGTGGGGGGCTGCACTATTCATGCATGTCTGAGATTATGATCAGGTCTCCGAATTCCTTTTTAATCACAGGTTTTCTGACTAGTTCAAGGCATCCAAACATACAAGTACGTCCCATAGATTCGTGTTCTAAGCTTGCAAAAGATGGTAATTAAAGCAAAAGCAAACTCCATTCAGTACAAGATTAGCTACTTGGTGATCTAGTTAAGAAAGCAATCTTGGGTATTTTAAAATTACCAAGACTACATATATTACTATGTGGCATAAGAGTTTTAAAATTCAGTTCAGACATTTACTGGAAGTAGCTGCTGCCAGATTTGAACAATATCCAAGAGAGATTCACAAATAAAACAGCATTCCTTACATTTAAGTGGTATCGTTTACTAAAATTTTAAATGAAATATTCTGATCAAAGTTGCCCAGATTAACAACTTTTAAAATACCAGTACTGTACTTTTCCCATTTGTTCAGTCCGCCTTAACCTAGCTTTAATGAAACAAGTTTTAGCAGTTCTAATTTATTCCTCAAAAACAAATACTTATTAAATATTGATAAATATCGAGGTTCTCTAAAATATGCACCACTTGGTTCAGGAAATAGATATATTCTACCAAGTGATGTTTTAATTTCACTGAATGCTGCCAGCATCATTATGAGCAGTTTAAGAAAACCAGAAGCACAATAAACACCATTCAATGGAATTTTTTCTACATTTCCACAGTAAAAAAAAAAAATGTATATATTAAGTGGTAACTTTTCTAAATAGACACGTTCTAGTTTGTGAAAACAACCCAAGTTTCTGTTCACAGACTTGTGAACAGAAATTTAAATAAAATTGAAAAGAATAATGACAGCATTTTCTTACCTGTACAGCGCTGTTAAGGAAGCAACTGTTTTGTCCTGGTTCATTTAATAAACCTTTGGTAGGGGCCAAAGATAACATACTTCCAGGCTGGTACACTTTTCCAAGGTTACCACCTCCAGGTTTCCGTAAAAATTTTGCCCAGGCCATTATTTAAAAAAACAAGTTAACTGTGTATACACCAAGCTATTTGCACATTACAATACTTAAGAATATGATGCGTACAAGGCAAAAGGAAGGGCTTAAGAGAATTTCCTTAAAGTGACAGCATTCTGTTCAGACGGCATAATGGTACTGACTTCCTTTCACAGCTGTTGGCTATCTATCAAAACAATCAGTCAACTAAACTTATAACCATACAAAGTTTACTAACTTTGGAGACTAAAAAAAAAAAAAAAAAAAAAAAAA